TCGATTTTGAGTTATCATCACATATCACTGTACTTCCGGTCACCCCGGATGCCGAGGTCACGTGACTTTCCAATTCAATCAGTAATGTTGCCCAAGATAATGGTCTACTAAGTTTCTAAATGTAAACTTGGTTCCTCATTCAAACCAAGTTACAGTTGAAAAAATGTCTATAACTTTATATTCTTGTTTGATGCCTTACATGTCACAGTGAGGTCACGAAAGTACGAATATTTTGACATCAAAGTATGGAATGGAATGGAATGGAATGGGAAAGTCAAATGAATTAAATACCCAGATAAATTGGTTGCCAAGCTCAAGATCTATCAGATCCCAAAATACGAACACCATACCTTTATCAGTTCTTGAGATACAGCTGATAGATTTTGGTTATTTTTAAACTAAAATTGTCCGTAATTCAATACCTCCTGCATCATCTTGACGTCACACTAGTTTGCATTACTAGTGATAAGGGTTACTGTTCATGACAAGTTTTGATCAAGTTTAAAGTCTTGGGAGTATGAGCCCCTAGCTGGACCAAGAGAGGGCATCTTTCCTATCAACAGGGGCTCCTTTGATGGGAAGTGCATCGCTACAACAAGATGAACGCTCCCCACCAAAATGACTCTTTTCAACCAATGTATAATAATTCATTCGCTCTTTAAAAATTCACTCGATTCGAAATCTAAAAAGGTAAATGAGATCCTCAAGATTTTGTTCGGTTTTTGAAAAATACATACTGAAAAATGACATTCGCTTAAAACACATTGGATTAAAATTTAAATGCTTTCAATTTAACAAAAACATGTTCCACGTTTTGCCCCTAATTCTACTTGGTAAGGAATGGCGTACTCCAACACGAATACCACAGACAGTTCAGAAATTCTTGGTACAGACGAGGCCGGAAATGCCCGAATATTAACGATGCCATCCGAATGGTCTTTTTCTTCTCCCTTTACTCATTTGGCTACCAATTTTATTCATTTTATTCTTTGTAACAATTTTTACATTTTTAAGGAGCATTAAACAAAAAGTGTTGACGATAAACTGAATTTAATATGGGCAGGATAAGCTCGGAATAGTTCGACTATTGATGTATTCCCGGAAATCTGGGGGAGTGTTGGTCCTGGGAATATTGGGTGATACAGGACCCTTGATTAGAAGAGTAGTCGGAATCATTGAGTCTGGTATCCAGACTGGCTCTTAATATGCAGCGAGTTCAGCTAGTTTTAGCTATTTATCTCGCCGCGGCGAGTTGCTATCGCCGCGGCGAGATAGTATCTCGAAAAATTGTTTTTGCAAGTTGTCCTTATACGCTTCAGTAGAGTGGTGATCCAAATAGAGGTAATAACTGCGAGGGTACACTGGTTTGGCATAGGACATGCTTGAGTGGATTTAGGGCACAGACCACGACACTTTGAATACATTCCTTCACTGTAACAGGACAAAGTAATTCCTGAATTGGCTATTTACTTTTGGACTGGAAGTACTACGTACCATGATGAAGCAAACTATGGGACAGAGAGAACCCCCCCCCGCCTTTGTGTTGGTCATTGTTATGCTGGTATCTCGAGGAATTCTTTTCAGACATCTAGGGGGATGTGTATAGGGATTGAACTTATGGGGGGGATACCCCTCTGTCCCATTTCGTGCCTGGTATACTACCTACTTATTGTGGTCATCGCAGTTGGAGCACATAATGTGTGCAGTGTCGACCATGAAGGCAGAAGGCAGGGCAAAAGGCATTAAATTCTGTAGTGTTAGGTTGGTTTGGATTTGTGAGAGATGTGTGCACTTGCGGTGATTGCGCAGAATAGTTACATGCCGTGAAACTTTGCACAATTTAACTCAAAGGCAACATGAGGGTGTCAGGTCCCGGATTTTTAGCGACAGTTTCTGTCTTTCTGCAGTTTTTTGTGAACATAACTACCGTGAAATCTCTTGGCATGATGTTGGTAGCCATGCAAGATGAGTTTGACTCCGACACCTGGGTGCTAGGTACGGTCTTTGCGGTCATCGAGTGTGTGAGTGATCTCTTGGGTGAGCATATATTTCTTAAGGCTATCATACAGACTTGACGAAATCCGTCGGCGCTACTCTAGTCTAAGATATTGGCCAAGTTCCGATTATAACGACTTATACTTCTCGTATTGTTATGCGGTGTATTTCTGAGATGAGATCCAATCGCGTAGCGCCATGCAAAAGAGACGACTCATTCACTTCTTCCCTGCATGATAGGCATATCGTTTATCTGGTGAACTGAGGCAAAACGCATCAATGTGAAATAATTTATTAATTGAAGCCGTCATTCTCCTAAAATTAATTATTATTTTTAATGATATAATAGCTGACCATTAACAAATTACATCAAACTGGAGTATCCGTTTGGCTTCAAGAGGCAACATTGCCACCTAAAAAAGGCATTTTTGTGCGCAAGTTTTCCGAGTTTCGGAAGCCATTTTGGGGGGGAATCACATCCCATAGCGTCTCTTACGCGACTGAGTCTTCATGTCTTGCGTTCTGTCTGCGTTATAAACGACCGTATGGAAACCAGGTAATCCGAGTAGACGCGATAACTGCCGTGACACCGCACTCACACGCATGCGTGCTTTTGGCATATCACGATGTGTTTATTTTTTGCGGGGGATAAAGGATTGGGTTTTTGTCGAGTGGCTGAATTTCAAGACATTATATACACCAAGATCCATTGAAAAGTATTGACAAGATTGAAGAGCAAACAAGAAGATACAGTGGCATGAGCGTTTTACATAAACAGCGATGGTGATCGCAGCAGAAGCTGTGATCAGAGCATACTCGTGTTACGGTCATAGATAGTGATATGTTATTGGCCGCAAATTGATCACGTGATATGCCACAAACGCGCATGTACCATTCACGCGTCCCGCGCACTGGAGATGTTGCAGGGCTACAAAAATGATGGATAATGGTGATCTTTCCCACAGTTGACGTGTTGTGTCTACTGCGTTCTAACGTGTAATCCTGGCTACGGGGGGAGGGTGGCCATAGTGGTATGTGGTACTACATATACGCGTGAACTGTGGGAGATGTGCTCTGTGTGTGGGGGGGGGGACGACATTGAAACACTGTGTCCATTCGCATGAGCTAATCTCTCTGACCATGACAGAGACCTGCGAGTTATTTAACATCCGTTCGTGCATCCAGCTATGCTCGTGGAACACGAGTATGCTCTGATCAACGTTTCTGCTGCTATAAAACGCTCGTGCCATTGTCTCTTCTCGTCTGCTCTTCAAAATAGTCAATACAAAACACCATGTCACACTGTTTGTTGCCATGGATCGACCAATCAGGACTGAGAATTCAAGTTTGCCTGAGGATAATACGTGTAGTCGTGCCCTCTTCAGTAAATTAATGAGTAGTGGAGCCAAAACTGGAAAATCATCGACGAGTCAAATGTGAGCGAAACGAATTCTCCAAGTTGGTAAATGAAAGGCCAATCCTCAGCAAACTGGGGAAGAGGTATTCAGTGTCCCTGCCGTGTACGTACACCTGTATCGCGTGCGGAAAACGAAACCCAATCAGTTACCGCCGTACTTGGATAAGAATATAAACACAAATAGCTTTTTTCGCGCAGATTCTTGTTGTAATGTACTATTTTGTTACCATAATTTGTCCAACCAAAATCATTGCGCAAGGCCAAGTCAACAGTAATTTACAAAAACTACCATCCAGGAATCCACTGCCAAATGACTTACTAGAGTTTACCGTGATTACTTGATTGACAGAGGAGAAAAACGCAGTCATCGTTGACAATGCTACGCCACGGCCAAAATTCTAAAGGATGCACGAGCACTTTTACAACAATAATACTAGACAAGACTCCAACAAGACAGGACAAGAAAAACCTAAGACCAAGATGAAGATAAATCTGCTTCTCGTTTTTCTCCTTTGCGCAGGACCATTAGCCGGGCCTTTGGGTAAAAAATTTGGTGCCCGACTGGTTGTCATAGTTGCTGGTGTCATGGTAACGGCTGGACTCATCATTGCGTCACAAGCATCGAGCGTTCTACAGCTGGCGCTCTCACTGAATTTATTACTAGGTAGGATGTGCTTTACAGTAATCAAAGCTAGCTTGACCAGACCAGGTCACTCGTTAGTTTCAAAAAAGTCACCAATGGCGTAACCACGGCCTTAGATACGACTTGAATACTCAAGCAAAGTGACGTTAGTAATCACTGAGCAGGAGTGATCATGAACTGTGGGGTAACCGTTATGGGTGGTCACTGTATACCAGGCCGGATATGCAATAGGGTCCCTCTAGGGTCATCATTGTCTTACCATTTGTACAAAGAAATTCCATCAGTATCCGCAACAGTATCCGTGATTGGTTCATTTTTCATCACTGGTTCCTTCTGTCGTGAATTACGGA